AAGCAATTTGCAGGGAACAACTTAGTTCACATACCTTCATGTCTTGTCTTGCTTATCTTATCAGCTTCCTGCAAATTGCTTCTGGGCATTCTGCCAACCATAGTAAGTTTTCAGTTATTATGCTTTGAATTCTTGGCGGCTGTTAATGCAATTAATTTATTATTCAAATTTTATTTATTATTCAAATTTCTATACCGCCCTTCTCCTTTCGGACTCAGGGCGGTGAACAGCCAAGATAAAAACATCTATACAAACATCACAGTTAAAAATAAAGTTAAAATAATTTATAAATTAACAGCTGTTGTTGTAAAAGACTGGTTTATTCAGTAAATTAAGGTTTGAACGGATTTTGTGTGTGCTGTGTTCTTTGGGGTCCGTAGCTGGGGCAGAACAGAATCCAGTTTCGCAATCGACCCATAATAAGGGGACCTTCTTATTTAAATGGAAAGATACATTTAGTTTTTATACATTTTACTCAATACATGCAGTGAGTCATTACTGTTTTAATATAACAAACATAATAAATTAATGTATCTTCAAAAGTAGAAGGGAAAACTTTCAATAAATGTATGAAAGTATTACACACCATATGGTAAGATTCCCCGAAAGGCAAGGTTTTCCATTACAAGCAACCAAGCAGAGAAAGAAAACCTTGAGGGTGATCTTCAGTTAGCATTTAATATTTAGGCAGATATTTAATACATGTGATTCCACCATCTTTATTTTTAAATTATTATTTTTTGTTTGTTTTCAGAAGGCTAACTTGGGGGGTGGGGAGCCCATTTGCATCAATTTTCAGTTTTAGGAATAATTTCTCTAGACTGAAAGATGCTTTACGAAATTGAAAGAAATGTCTGTAACACATTAGAATGTTTATATTACTAATTCTAGGGACATGATTTGTCAGATTATAAATTTATACTGGGCAGGTTTCATTGTGAATTCAATTTGTACAAAAATATACAGGGGAGTATGTCTGTATTTTCTTTGATCATTTGTGATTTTTTTTCCATCAGCACTTAGGCAGCAATGTATTTAAGCACTGAAATAATTAATTTTGCTCCATTTTTCTGTTGATTAAAAAAAATTAAGTGTAGTATTTTGTGTAAAAAAAAACCCTGCCTCACATGTCACTAGGAGCTAAACAGCATCAGAGGTGGGTTTCAGCAAGTTCTTACCAGTTCTGGAGAACCGATAGTGGAAATTTTGAGTAGTTTGGAGAACCGGTAGTAAAAATTCTGACTGATCCTGTCCCCATCTATTCTCTGCCTCCCAAGTCCCAGCTGATTAGGAGGAAATGGGGATTTTGCAGTAATCTTCCCCTGGATTGGGGAGGGAATGGAGATTTTACAGTATCCTTCCCAAGCCACGCCCACCAAGCAATGCCATGCCCACCAAGCCACACCCTCAGAAACAGTAGTAAAAAATTTTGAAACCCGCCACTGAACAGCATGTTCCACCAAAGCAATTCATCATGGAATAGAAGAGCATCTGTGAATTTAAACCCACTACTATATCAATTTCTATTCAAAATTTCAAAATTTCAAAAAGGAGCGCATTTCTAAAAGAAAAAAATCTCAGGAAAACTATATCATCGTTTTAAAAAGTTGAATTCAGATCAGTGTGTGAAAGAAAAAGAGAGAAAGGTAAGTTGTAAATAATGAATTTTGCAAACAAAAGATGGGTTGGGATGAAATAAAACAACGAAATGAGTTTGATTGTTGCACTTGTATTTCAATCAGTAACAAAATTATTTTTTCCCATATTTCACCCTCCCATATTCTTTTTAATTTATACTGTGTGTTCTTCATAAATATTTCTTTGTTTCTAAAGTTTAGCATCTTTGAGTTAGACAAAACTAAAGAAACCAATGAAGAACTTTACTGATTTTCTTTTTAATCTTGGAACAAAATACATGAACAATAAACTTGCCTCTTGTTATCAAGAAAAAGATTATTGGTGTCTACCACATAGACAGAAGGGAGAGAAAGCATAGGAATGGACAAGAACACAATTTGGATGAAAATTGCCTCAAAGGTCAAGCAATAATGAAAATAAGGATAATGATAAATCAATCACAAAGAGTGTAGATTTCTCTCCATCCTGCATCTGTGTGACATAACCACTGAAAGGCTACATGTCAAGAGTCATTAAAGATCCATCAATCAGTTAATCAAATCATTCTGATTCCTACATCAGTTCTCTCCAAATAGAACATTTCAGACAATCAAGCATCAGTTGTTGTTTTTTTAAGTGTTTCTGGTGCCTGCCACCATACATTTCTCTGGAGTACAACTAACTATATATTAGAGGTGAAGCTTCATAGAGAATTTTAAATTGGATTAGCCCTTTAAAATATCCCCTATCTTGTGCAAATTAAAGGCAACTCCAAATTTACCTAATCTGAACCAGACTGTTTGTAAACCAGTTTGGAACAATACCTAGAAATATAAAGAACTTTATATTGGCTTACTCCCATATTTAGTATGAATATTGCTTTCTGTTTTGGATTTTTTTCTTTTTCTTTTTATGATCTTTAAAAAGAGCGAAAAAAGAGGAGAGAATATGTACAAGTATATAGCCTATGATTTTATAAACGAATGCATAGGAATTACAATAGATTCCTGGTAGACCTTGGCATGTCTGCTCTAGGAGTATGAGAAATATTTCTGAACAATATTACTTATGCAAGAAATTCTTCCATTCTGACATAACAAGCTTCCATTTTACCCATCCTTGAGATATGGTGTGGTAAAACAATCCTTTCAGGAAATGCTCTCAGAGCTAATATATATTCCTCACCTGATTTTATATAAAGTTCTGCAGAGATGGGATTGAAATTATTCTGGGGTTCATCTTCTCAACAAGAGTAGAAAGCTTGGTTTCTTGTCCAGAACACCCTTAAATATGTCAATGACTCTAATTTTTTTAAGAACATGTTATTACAATCTTCAATTGCATATTAAAAAGGTCTCAACACATCTGTCATGTTTCTAACAACCCATCAATTTTGTTGTTGTTAGTTGTGAAGTCATGTCCAACTCATTGTGACCCCATGGACAACATTCCTCCAGGCTTTCCTATCCATTACCATCCTCTGGAGTCCATTTAAGCTCACACCTACTGTTTCACTGACTCCATCCAGCCACCTCATTCTCTGTTGTCCCCTTCTTCTTTTGCCCTCAATCTTTCCCAGCATTAAGCTCTTCTCCAGTGAGTCCTTCCTTCTCATTAGGTGGCCAAAGTATTTGAGTTTCATCTTCAGGATCTGGCCTTCTAAAGAGCAGTCAGGGTTGATCTCCTCTAGGACTGACCAGTTTGATTGACTTGCAGTCCAAGGGACTCGCAGGAGTTTTCTCCAGTACCATAGTTCAAAGGCCTCAATTCTTTGGTGCTCAGTCTTTCTTATGGTCCAACTTTCACAGCCATACATTGCAACTGGGAAAACCATAGCCTTGACTATACGCACTTTTGTTGGCAGGGTGATTTCTCTGCCTTTTAGTATGCTGTCTAGATTTACCATAGCTTTCCTCCCCAGGAGCACGCGTCAATCATATCTCTCCCTATCCACTTTTTTGCCATTGTTTGTTTTCTCTTCATCATCATTTCTTTACAAAGGTAACAAGTTACTTCATAACTACAGTACAACTACAATAAAACAGTCAGTTGGAAAAATCATACTCTCTTAATTATGAAGTTACTGGTTTTACCATTCAGTGGGGAGAGGTGAAATATAAGCATTACATCCATTATACAATTTTTGAATACAATTTTGTATAACATATGCAACTTTCTATATTTTGCAAGCTGCTTTTCCTAATACAATGCATTCTAATCTCATTTTAACCATTTTTGTTTGTCCCTGATTCCTCATATAAACATTTTATATATTTTTCTTTTACAGAGAACTGATTTACAAAATTTGGAGTAGTGTGTTTCAGTTCTTGTTTTGGATAATAGCTATGAAATAATCAGATTCACATTACAATGCAAAGCAGAGCAATTTCTGTCCTAGTTCTTGTTATTAGTTATGACAGTTTCCTAGATGTGAAACTAATAATTGAAAGCAAAATATTTGTGTTGTTTAATGGCATGAATAAATGTAATAGAACTCTTCTTAGTTTCTTTGATATTCACCCCTGGTGAAGCTTACACAGTTAAACATCGGCCTTCCTTTTTAGATCTATTGGCAAGCTGCTCATTCAGGAGAATAATATTCAATGATCCAACTCTCTTTAACTGTCGGCATTATCTGTTTTTATATTCTTTATCAAAATTCAATCCGGTAGTATATCATTGTGATATTTGTTATTTTATTTTTACTTATGCACTATAAGCTTTTTGGGGGGGAGGGGTACGTTTGAGAAAATATCAGTTTGTGAAAACAGAAGATTTATTTATTTTCCGCATCATTGCATTATGCATTTTGAATATACTTATTCTCCTCAAAGATCCCCAAGGTGAAATGGCTTCTAGCCAAGTCAATGAGCTCCATGCTACAAAGATCATGAATCCCTCAGTGGAAGATGCAAATTACTGTTCTCATTTTCTTTTCTGGTTTCTGATATCATTCTAAAAACACATTTTATGTAAAAGTTCAGCTGCTGCTTGGATTTAATCTGTGTATACAAATTGTTGTCTGTCATTTTTGGTACACAGCATTTAAATATCAAGGATTAGTTAGAACATTGTCACTTAAATACTGTTTATCTATTCAATAGCTCAAAATACTGCAATTTATCTAAGAACACATTTACATTTTCTGGAGAAATTCAAATCTTAAGGATAAAAGAAGCTTCCTTATTAGTTAAAACCCAAGGAATACATTTATATTCAAATAAAACCATGCACAATATATTCTATAATAAATAATGGAGGAGGAAGACATAGAGAAGAAAGAAGAGGAAGAGGAAGAGAATTAAGGTCTTTTGCCAGAATTTTGTCTGTTTCCTGGGATATATATGCAATATATATAAAACAATATACAAACAAAACTGATCAGCAGTCCTTCTCTCTTTAATTTATCTATGATCTTTCTCAAAGACAGTCAGTTGTACTTCTTGAAGCTACCTTCCATCAAATCTCTCAACAAGCTTGTCAGTTTTCTTTCCACCCATTTTCAGATCTTAGTGTTCTTTGGTATAATTCTCTATCCATCCAGTCATCTTTTTGTATACCAGCTCAAGTGCCATTCCTTTGACAAAGAAAAATGTCAGGGGATGCCAGTGAAGATGGGAGAGGTTGTTAAACCTGTCAGAGAAAGAGAATTTATAAATGATAAAGATTATCCAATTGATCACCTCTGATAATTATGATAATCTGAAGTCATGTCCACATAGGATTGCAAATGAGAGAAACTGTCCAGCTTACTCCAGTATCTCACCTACCCCCACTGGTTACTAGGATGTTAAAGGCCAGTTTGCAAGCTGCTTCTGCAGAGTTATGGCTCTAGCAATGGCAGGTCTGCTGCATTTCTGCCATGTCCAGCTACCTTACCATATTGCTAGTCTCAGTTAGAGACATGGTAATGACAATTATTCAATTGAATTCAATAGGAATGTTTCCTTTCTGCACCCAGTCTCCCAGTGTTATATATCATAACATAATATTGACTATACAATTTAGATTTATGGCCAGATGTTGTATTGTAACTATGGTATTAAATGCACCCATACAGGCTATACTAGGAAAAGGAAGCAATTGATTTCCTTCCCCACAAATATGCCCAGAATTGTATTCCCATTTCATCAGTTGCAATTGTTAATGAGATTTTTAAAACATGATTGGTTCCGTTGATGAGATGTACACATTTTTATATGAGGTGTTATTGCCTATAAAAGTTATATTCCATATTAAAGAATTTCAGTGATCTTATTGAAACATAAAGGTCTTTATATTTCAGAACAGGTAGAAATAATGCTGGCTATGAAGACATCCAATATAGCTGCAATACTTCATATACTGAATGACTAGATTTACCAAAAGAAAATGTCTGCAAAATGGGATTATCAATCCATGACTTAGTTAACATGGAATTTATTTATTCACTTTAAGAGGGTCTATTTTAAAAATGTTGTAGGGTTTTTTTATGACCAGATGTATGTACATGTATATAAAATATTATCAAAGAGTACAAGCAATGGCAGTGAATTGCAATTACTATAATTTAAATGTCTAAAGATGACATTGTGTCATTGAAACAACTCAATGTGAATGTGAAGGCTGAAAAGAATCCCTGATACTGTAGTTAAAACTCCAGTGTGGAACTTTTTTTGGGAAAACAAAGTAAAGAAAAATTAGACTGAGGCTATTCAGCTGAAATGTCCATATACCTTCTGTATTTTTTTTCTTTTAAAAAACCAGTTTCTTTAATTATGTACTAGAAGAATACACTTTTAAAATGCCTTGCAATTTAAAGGCCATTTTGCCTGTCATCATACCCATTCATTTAACTTCTGCTGCCAACCAAAGAAGAAATATACAGCAGAGGTATAATATAATTTCATTGTGAATTTAGGAACCTGCCATACCATTCAGCTAGTTCCTGATGAACACCCAAAAGAAAAACAAAGCCTTGTTACTATGTCCAGAGATTTAAAAGACCTGTGATCAATTTTTTAAAAGTGCAAGAATTGTGTGAGACTTGCTATATGTGTGCTTATTTACAGTGGTGCAGTTGCCTGTTTTCAAACTAAAAATCTGAAAATACTAAAAGAGAGGTTCAAAGAAACTTATTCAGAACAATCTATCCAGAGCTTCTTATAGGGCATATATAAATATAACATTTTTTTTAAAATTTGATTTATATGCTGCCCTTCTCCGGAGACTCAGGGCGGCTTACAATGCGTTAAGCAATAGCCTTCATACTTTTGTATATTTTATACAAAGTCAGCTTATTGCCCCCACAAACTAGGTCCTCATTTCACCTACCTTAGAAAGGATGGAAGGCTGAGTCAACCTTGAGCCTTGGCGAGATTCGAACCAGCAGTAAATTGCAGGCAGCTGTGTTAATAACAGGGTGCGTAGACCACTGTACTATCAAGGCTCTTTATTACACATTGTGTGAAAGAAGAAGGAAAATGCTATATAAGCAAAATTTACATGGATATAAAAATAAAATATTATCAAAGAGTACAAACAATGGCAAAGTACTGCAATTACTATAACTTAAATGGTATACTGGTTAGAAGCCATCTTTTGCATTGGATCTTCAGGCCTCTAAATGTTTTGTTTCTTGGTAGCAGAAATGGCTTCCTTTATTATATTGAGAGGCTTTGTTTGGATGCTACTGCCCCCAATGAAGCAATGAAGGGGAAAATAGCCTTCTTATAATGGCCCCACTCAGCAGTAGAATGCTCTCACTTAGAATCTCTCTTTGGGAGCTCACTGTCCCTATTTAGATATCAAATTAATTTCCTTTTCAAACAAGCATGTAACTCTTAAAAAACTATCAGAACCAGTATGGAATAATAGTCTGGATGTCATATTATCTGGGAAAGGAGTTTCAACTCAACGAAACCCCCAGGAATGGAAACTCATTCATTGACAAGCTTATGTTCATGACTGTCTCTTAAACTAACATACTAACTCCGGTTTTCTGGAGAAAATGTGGAAAATAAATATTACAGTAAGAATAAATAAATAATAGGATTTCTACCAACTATTGCTTGGGGGGGGGGAGTTAATTTAAAAAAGTACATATAAAGAGCATTGCTGTTTCCTTTTATTATTATTATTGTTACTTTTTGGTTTACTACTTTGACATGATTTGTCAATCAATTGTGTATAAACTAAACAGCCAGAATTTATCAGTTCTCTGAAGAATAAATCATGGATTTCAATGAATGTGTTAGGGATACTTCCTCTGTAAAAAATATGGTAGATACTTGTTTGATCTATATTCCAATAGGAAACAAAGCTAATCTTCAGTTCATGCGTTAGTATGGAACCTGAAATAAATTTTCCTTGTGTTTTTTTTTAAATGCAATTTTATCTGAAATTTTGTCTGAAATAATTTGACAATAACTTCAAAACTCCAGTAAGTCCAAGTGGAATGAGCTATAGTTTTAGTTGCTTTAGCTAATTTCTATTATTCAAGCCAAGGTTATGTGAAGAGTAAGAGAGATAATAATACAATACAATACAATACAATTCTTTATTGGCCAAGTGTGATTCGACACACAAGGAATTTGTCTTTGGTGCATATGCTTTCAGTGTACATAAAAAGACAAGATACATTCGTCAAGAATCATAAGGTACAACACTTAATGATAGTCATAGGATACAAATAAGCAGTCAAATCCTACTAGGAAACAATATAAATTGTAAGGATGCAGCAACAAGTTACAATCATAGAATCATAAGTGGGAGGAGATGGGTGATAGGAATGATGAGAAGATTAATAGTAGTGCCAACTTAGTGAATAGTTTGACAGTGTTGAGGGAATTACTTGTTTAGAAGAGTGATGGCATTCAGCAAACAACTATTCTTGTGTCTAGTTGTTCTGGTGTGCAGTGCCCTATAGTGTCGTTTTGAGGGTAGGAGTTGAAACATCTTATGTCCAGGATGTGAGGGGTCTGTAAATATTTTCACAACCCTCTTTTTGACTCATGCAGAATACAGGCCCTCAACAGAAGGCAGGTTGGTAGTAATTGTTTTTTCTGCAGTTCTAATTATCCTCTGAAGTCTATGTCTGTCTTGTTGGGTTACAGAACCAAACCAGACAGTTATAGAGGTGCAGGTTACAGACTCAATAATTCCTCTGTAGTGTAATGTAAACAGAAATATGCAAGCTTTGTTGCCTTGGCAAAAGGGACTAAAGATAATGTTCAGTTCAGACGCCTCCCAAATTCACTAAACTAGGACAAAGCTTAGGAGGAATGGCATAATCAGTCTTGCAAGGTTTTTTAATTATAGCCAGTCTTGATACAAATAATTTTAGCCTTCCTGTGGAGTTGCTTCCTGATCTGGCCTCTCTGGTCTGGCTAACAGGTTTTGAGCAAGGTTACAAAATGTAAGTTGGCTAAAGTGATGCCAGCTCTTTGTCTGCTACACTAGGATATAGTGGTGCTGATCTTTAAAGTTCTAAACCAGTTTTTCTTGGCAACTTTAAGACATGTGGATTTCAACTACAGATTTCTAGGAGTTGAAGTCCAAAGGATTTAAAGTTGCCAAGTTTGAGAAACATTGCTTTAAACAGTTTGTGGCCAGAGTATCTTCAGTAATGCTTCCTCTCATTTGTCTCAAGTTATTTTGATCTTTCAAACTGTCCTCCAAATGTCCCTAGCAAATTTTCCAAATCACCACCAGAGAAAGGTTTCTTTGTCAAAATGTATATGTGGGAATGACCTTGGAAAACTAGGTGAAGAGATGTTGCCTAGGGAACAGTTCTATAGATATAAATTGCAATAAAATAAAATAAAAAATAAATATAATTCTATACATAATAATACATTCCTAGATTGCATTTTACAACTATACTGATATATTGCTCTAAGTTCCATCAGTCAATAAGAAAATGTATCAGATCAGATGTTTGCCCACCAAGATCAAAATTTAATGTTTCAGGGACTGAGTGCTTTTTTCTCAGGGCAACCTGGTCTATCCAAATATGGGACAGATAATTCTGCTTCTGCTTTCACTTTTCAGCCCCAATCCAGGAGCCTTTGCAGGCAGTCGCTTTCATGAAAAACTATTTTTGTGTTAAATTTATATTTATTGACAAAGAAATAGAAAGCAGAAGCAGTATACTCTGTCCCATATTTGGGTAGACCAGGTTGCCCTGAGAAAAAAACACTTAATGTCTCCCTTGGTATAGCTAACAAAGTGAGGAGAGCCCATGGTTTAGAGGTTAATAAATCTACCTAATATGTAAGCAGCCCAGGTTTGAATCCCAGAAGGGTATGACAAGCTGATGAGAGCTAAATAGCTTGAAATAGATCTATACTAGTCTCCCTTTATTTCTTTATCGGTAAATATAAATTAAACACAAAAATTTCAGGGACTGGCAATTTGATGTTGTTTGAATACTTCAGAGTTCAACTTCCGGTGGTGACGTAGGGTCATGGCGGCACAGGAAAAGAAGCGCTCTGTTCCCAGTGCCGAATTTCTAAGTTTTTGGAGCCCTTTTGGGCGAAGATCGGTCCTGGAAGGATCGGCAGTAAGGAGGGGAATCTTCGGAGGAGGCAAGGAGAGGTGCGATCTCCCGCCACATCAAGAAGGACCCTCATTCCGAACTTAGAAGAAGCTGG